TAGTGTGATACAAAAACGTGATTTTCTCAAAATTAGTGATTTACCGATTTGCTGGATTTCTGTTGACTCACCCCCATATGATGAAAAAAGAAAAAGAATATATTATGACGGACATGAGCGATCAGATGTGAAAAGAATGGCTAAAAAGAATGTTTGCATATAGGTAAGTTATATAATTTTTAATAGATTAATTCAGACTTGTTTAAGTTTAAGATAATATTAATTTTTAAAGCTTATTATTTAAAGTTGAAGTTGGTTTTAAATTTTTCAGACTTTAATAATTGGATTCAGATTATTTTAGTATCAGTTGAATCTTTTCATCGAAAAGATTCAAATGATACTATAATTCTTCAAATTCAATTATTAAAACTTAATCAAAAAAAAATAGTATATAGTAGGCTAATTTTGATTTAATGATTATATATAGAAAAGTTTTAGTGGTGACATGTTAGATATTATAGAAGAACCTCAACTTGAGTTTGGTGAGAAAGAACTTGTACAAATTACACATGACGAATGTCATTTTTATGCAAATGATGGGATGAGAAAAATCTGGATCAAAAAGAATGGAAGTTTTCTACGTCCAAAGCATGCAGGAAGGTCTATTATGGTTTCAGCTTTTCTTTGTTCTTGTTATGGAGTATTGCAATTATCTGATGAGCAAATGAAAGAAAACCCACATATAAAATATAAAGAGGCTTTTATTCTATGCTCTATACAGTCAGATGGGTATTGGAAATCAGAGCACATGTTGGAACAGTTAGTACAACGTGCAATTCCAATATTTGAAGTACTCCATCTGAACTGTGTTGGTATTTTTTGTTTTGATCAATCTACAAATCATAATGCAATAGCTGAAAATGCATTGGTCGTAACAAAAATGAATCTTGGTTCAGGAGGAGCACAGTCTAAGTTGCATAATGGCTGGTATTATAATAAACATGGTAGAAAGATTATATAATCAATGTTATTTCCAGATGATTATGAAGTAGTGAAACTTAGAGGTCAACCAAAAGGAATTAGACAAGTGCTTATTGAACGTAAGTTATGGCCCTCACAAGGTGTTTGTTTAGTATGTGAACAATGCTCTAAAAAAAAAGATGAAGATAATCAAGAAAGAATAGGCTGCTGTGCACGATGAATAATATCACAGCAGCGTGATTTTTGTGAACAAAAATCAATGTTAGAGGAGGTAGTTCTTGAAAGAGGACATATATTTGAACGATATCCCAAGTTTCACTGTGAGTGCAACTTTATAGAAAGATATTGGGGATACGTAAAACGAGAGACAAGAAGACTAGTTATGTTGACTTGCAGCAACAGGTTCCACAAGCTCTTGTTAATATTCCTATGTCAACAATTCATAAATTTGCTCGTAAGTCTTGGAGGTATATGGATGCTTATGAAAAAGGTTTGGATGGTAGAACTGCTGAATGGGCTGTCAACAAGTATAAATCTCATCGTCGCTTACCTGAAAATATTGAAAGAGCAATGGATTCAAATGACAAATAATTGGTATTTACTATTGACATATATATATATAATATAAACGTATATATATTATATACATATATATTTATTTTTATTTTATTTATTTATTTTTTTATATATAAGTTTATATATATTATATACATATATATTTATTTTTATTTTATTTATTTATTTATTTATATATAAGTTTATCTAAAGAAAAAGTTTTTTTTTTACAGCTTTAATAAGTTCTGATAAAATACTGTTTACTACATAGTATTTATTTTTCAAAAATTTGATTTTTGTATTTAACAATAATGCGTGTTAATAAGTCTGCCTTTAAGATGAATTAATGTCTCATTTAGAAAATTTGACAAAAAATAAAGAGCTCAATGTTATATAATCATATTGTTAAACCTGTCTCAATTAATTCGTATACTCTACTCTACAATTATCTATTTATTTATTATTTTCTAATATTATATATCAATTATTTATCGTACATCAATACTACGTATCATGCAGGAGTTAAATATTATTGTTACTATGATATTATTATTTATTGAACTATATTTGTATATGCAATTTTATTGGTCAATTGCAATCACGCGAAAATTGAAACATTTCACGTGATTGTCGAATATAGACTTCCGGCACCATAGTACAGTGTAATAGTTATATCATGTACAATTGGGTATAAGCGGAATTTTGCAGTGAAGCATAAGCGGTCGATGTAAAATTCCGCTTACTGTGTATCCAACACGAACCTAGCATGACCACCAAAATCAGTTACGTAATCGCTGTTTAAAATCATCTCCGAAAATTAATGCAATATT